AGATGAGGGGCATCTTACGATAGCGCCCCGATTTGGAACGATTCTAAATTAAAGGAATCTTGCGCGGAAAATTCTTGCACTCTTTCCTAACATGAATATGTCAGTTGTGATCACTGGAAATAGCACACAAAGTTTCACGCATGAAGATTCGGTTTCTGAAGAGAAACAAACGTACAAAAACTACACGTTATGGACCATCGAAGGACCAGGAGGCAGAGCCAGGCGAGGCATGGAAAGAAGACGGCGTTTGGCCGGCTACGTACCAGGCGACGCAATGAGAGAATCGGGTTAAAGCGCGCGATTTCGGAGAGTGGAGACAAATCGATCGATGGAATAGGATGGAGTAGAAGTGTAAGATGTGAATGCAACGAAGCAGAAGGCCAGAAAGAGCTTCTAGTGAATGCACTCCAAGAACCAAGTTTGAGCATCCCCGTCGCCAGCATTCGTGAAAGACGTCCGTGGGCAATTCGAACGCGTAGCAGCCTTTTCGAGTTTTCGAATTTCTAATCAAAACGAAAGCAATACTTCAGTTCTTTTCACTATTATCGTGGATAATGAGTCTCAAGCCAGTGATTTATGGCTGAAATAGAATCATGATTTTTCCGCGCAAGATTCCTTTAAGCTTGATAAGTGAAACACTTAATATGTTGCCGAGTGAAGTGCCACATTCTAAAATTTCATATAAATTAGCTAGTACAAACATTTCTGTAAAATATGCTAAACATAGGCGTAACGGAAGCTTGCTTATAATTACTGATATGTTGAAAATGTTTTAAATGGGTAAAGAAGAAAATTTTAGGGTGGCACCCACCATTGGGTGCCATTGTCCCACGCGACGGTCATAGTGGCACCCACCGGTGGGTGCCATTGTCGCCAAAGGGTTAATGAAATCTGACCTCTTCTGGGCCCACACAAGTCGTGGTGTAAGTAAAACATATTTACCGTGTCGCGGTTCAATGAAATTCACATGAGGGTTTCCCTGCAAGTCGCTTTTCCAGAGTAACTAAATGACTAAGAAAGACCTCAAACCGACCGCTGATCAAAGTGTTCTGTGATTTGTCTCTCGAAGGAAGGTCAATAAGTCAAACATGCGACCTGCAACTTGAAATGATATAATAATAATGACATCGTTGCATTTGCCTCGAGGCGTTGAACTTAGAACCGGTTCACTTGTTTACTGACAAATTTTCTGAACAGTCTCGTAGAAGCTTTCGCGTATGCTATTTTGCATACTATTCTTGTCGAAAGTGCCCCTAAATGTCGCGATTTGTGGGTAAGCGTTAATGAAGTAATGTCGAAAAGCTTCATGACATGTCACTGGTATAAGCGAAATAATTAATCCGTCATGGCGTTGAATTGAAAACATCGTGCCTGTGACAGCGGACCATTACCCTTAAAAATGTAATGGGTATGAAAATAAACCCTCAGAGGGTCTTAAGTCCGCTCAGAGAATTGTTATGCAGATAAGGAAACCTGTTCTCAGCTCAGCGTTAGGCGTAGGCAACGGTTCACAGGTCATTTTAATTAGCCGGGTAGTCATCTTTTCTTTAGAGGTGACAAATTGAAGAAGTACGATTGTGATTGAGATCGTATACACTTGTTCAAGTTCCAATACGATTATCTGTAGTGTTGGTGGCTTTATGCGTCCTCCGCAGACTTTATCTTGATTTCGCTCTTCACTGCTCTCCTTTTTCCACCACTCTCTCTGTTAACACCTTGTCTGCGCTCTACCGATAATCCACGCTCCTTTTTCCAGTAAATCGCTATGTTCTCTCTTCGTTCTTCATGCACAATGATCGACCACCAACAGGTGTAGCGTCAGTTTGCAGGTGTGGTCACTGGGCGTCGTGGCGGGCGCCTGTGAGCCAGCTTCTAGGCAGTAGATTGGTGTGGATGGAGTGAGGGGAGGAGTCCCGTGATGGTTGCGGTGTACGGCGACCGGGCGTCCGCGCCAAGCGTTGCGTCGCCAGGGTTCTGCTGCCGGAGGGCGGTGGAACCCGGGCGGTCAAGGAGGGGTGCACGGCTCAGGCCCGAAAGGGAGCAGGCAAAAACCCCCGCGCGACGCAGTGGCCGGATAGCGCCCGCGAGTGCTCGCACCATCACGGCCTCTCCAATACCTTCAGACCGCCGATCGCTTTTGCTACCCTTCTTTCATTCTATTCTAACATATGCCACAGCTGATGTTTACTGGAGCACTTGCTTAGCTCTTATCTTACTCGCAGATGTTCTCAAAATAATTAGGTTCGGGAAGCGACGTCTACCTTAGCAAGTGTGAAGGGTTAAGGGTGACAGCTACTTTCGACGACTTCCCTAATAATGTATGATGTGTTTGACATTTCCAACGTCGTAGACCTTGAAGGAGCATTGCGCCTACAAGCTGAATTTCGAGGTGTCTTCCCAATTCTGCTGGCCCACTGCAGCTTAGTTATTGTGCAACTCTAATATCAAGTAACCAACTCCCTGTTTTTGGTTGGCCGGACTTCGTAGAGCAATTTCACCAAGAATTAGAGAAGATTTGTCTAACTGTTCTTATTGTCGGTCTAGCTTTCCTCAAATTCCAAACCGAGCTTCTTGCAGAAAATTAGTGAAAACCAGGCAATTTTGGTTGGCAGCAGTGCGGCAGGTACCGGAGCTCTGATGCTCAAGAAAAGGTAAATTGGCTTCGATAATTTCTCTTAGCACATTCGATACAACTCGCCTTCAGCACCAACGCAACAGGCAACACAACGCAAGTAATAGCAAGCTGCCATGTGCTCTTACAAGATCTGTATTCTCCTCGAGACCAGAACGGCAATCGTATTCTGGCCCTGGAGTGTGATCAACCAGGCCAATACACAAAGTAACTGTTCTCTTTTTCTTTCGAGACGGTTGAATTTTTTTACATCTGGCCTCCAAAGGTAAGCGCAGCGGTTAAGCACCATTGAATATTGGTAGCTGGCTACAAAAATAGCCCCTACATAGGCAAAGCCCATAGAGAACTCGGCTCGGAAGACGCTCTACTACACCATAGGAGCGCTCGCTGGGGCTTCTTTGGGCACGTTTGCATCTACAAATTATTTCTGTTTTTCTCGCGGTCGTGGTCTGAAGAGACCGCTTCGTGAATTTGAGTATAGTATCCACTGATGGAAGTACATAAGGAACGTCGCTTTGAATGAAAATTTTGCTGAAGTTGGCAGAACACCTTGTAGAGGAAGCGTAAAGCTTCTCCGTGGTACAGGTATCTGCGAAGCACCTCTTTCCACTACTTCTCTTACAACTCTTCTATGAAAAGGTGGAGAAAATGAGCTATTGTAAAAAAAAACGAAGAGGTGGAGAGCGCTAGAATTTCATCCACAGCGTTCTTTATTCAAGGCGAATTTTTATAACTACTGTGATCATTGATCGCTTTTTTAGTGAGCGCCCCTTCATTGAAACGAAAATGGCTTCGGAAATGTCATCTAATTGGGACCAGGCGTGAGTGCTCCACAAAAGCTATTCAAGGAAGGCCTTCCCAACCATTTCGCACTGTTTTCAGTGCATGTTTTTCGTCAGTTGAAGATACAGCCGTTTGGATCTACGGAAAGCCGCAAGCATCCAAAGCATTGCGAGACTACGAAGCAATGACGAGAAAGACTGTTCATCGAGACCACAGACTTCAGCAAGTAAGTTTGTGTAAATACAGGGGTTTTTTTGTTCTGTGGAAGGAGCCAAGAGCAGATATGCGTAGTATGACCCCATTTGTGGCCACTTCATTATACGAATCACAACCTTATGTGTGTCTGTATGTCGATCTCCCTCTGCAAAATGTAGGTACTAGCTAATGGTAGAGAGCAATCACCAACAGAGTGAGGAAGCTTGAAAGGCTTGCAATATCGGTAGTTCGCCATGTTGATGTTATGTTTAGGATAACACCTACAGCGGCTATGACACCGATCTAGTCCACTCTCGGTCATTCCACGCTGTGGTGCCGTTGTGGTTTACAACAAGAGGGAAGGGAGAGGGGTGAGGGGGAGGCGAATGAGATGGGAGAGCGAAACCAAGGCTGAGATTCACTTAATGTGGTGATTCTAGGCAGAACTTCTCTGAACTCTGCTCTTGCTCTTGCTCTTGCTCGCCCTCAGTGACCACCCGAGTCACTGGCCACGCTTCTGAATGAACAAGGTTTTAATAGAGCATTTATTACAAAATCGACCTATGACTGACAGGTTCTTGAGTCTTGCGCAGGCACCGTCGTCCAGGCTCTTGTTCCAGAAGAGGTCTTGCAATCTTGACAGGCTCGTATCACCGACTCCTCTCTTCTAAGTCCATCCTCTGGTTTTATACCATCGACGTCGGCGGAGGCAGACAAGTATGTAAGCATAACCCTGAAGATAAACGGTTTCTCAAGCATTAGAATGTAAGCATAGCTAAGATCTGCCAATAGATAGCAAAACTGAGAAACTAAGGCGGATGACTAATAGCAAGAGGAAAGAAAACTTCTAAAACTTCTAACCATTTATAGTGCGTTTAGCAACAGTTAATGCTTTAGGTATTTTTCTGACGTGATGTTATGATTGTCATAGAACTCACAATCACTCCTCCTCATTATATAATCCACAACCTTGGTGTGGCAGTATGTCGGGGTGTCGGTACGTAGCTGGTATGTAAATCGGTCTGTATGTCGATCTGTTCGTCCGCAATGGAGTAAGACAGCTAATGGAATACTCAGAGAAGCGGGGAGGGGGAGGGGGAGGGGGAGAAAGTCTTCCATATCAACGCTTTGTAATGTTGACGTCATGTTTATTATACCTGCTCACTACGGCTATACATATAAACACTGATAGAGTACTCTTCGGTCATTCCAAGTAGTGCTATCGTGGCAGCCGAATGGTAGAGAGGGAGAGGAGAGAGGGAGAAAACCAATCGCTTATGAAAGTAAGGACAAACTCAGGGTTGAGATATTCTTCTAACGCGATGTCATGATTGTGACAACACTGACAACACTGTGTATGTCGAGTAAAGCATTTTAAAAGCTCACTTCTTCTCCTTCAGCTTCTTTCTTCTGATAGCTATAGCGTCAAGGTAATCACTTCTGTGTAGTCTAAGCGTTTCGCCCAGTGGCCCAGAGGATCATTCGCAATCACAAAGCAGTACGCTTCTTCTTCCTTTCCTCTTGCTCATTCTCATGCTTATATTACTATCATCTGGTTGTCACATTTTCACATTGGTAGCGTCGTCGACGATTTTTCGATTATTGTTATATTTTCAATTTTTCGATTAAAAATGGAAAGGTTGTGTATGTAGTCTAAGACTTTCACTTCAGAAGTATATTTTTGCCTATCTTCCAAAACGATAGTCACCTGGACCCATAAGAAGGAGGAGAGGTCGTCAGTTGGGCGATCCGACTGCTTATAAAGTATTACTAAGAGGCTACCCATTATTACGGAATGAGCCATACTGTCCGATGTTTCTGAGAAAAATAAGCTAGCAATGACGAATATGGCAATACCACGGAAAACAAACCAACAGTTAAACAACAAGTTGCAAATGGCCACCTTTCAGCCGTAAGAATTCAAAAATAGGCGAGCTTTAAACAGCAGATGGCAGCTCAAACCAGTTTAATTTTGTTTCTTCCCACTCATGTTTAAAAACATTCACTGTTTTGACCCTAAATTTGTTCGTGTGACTTCTGCATAATAAGGCAGGAAGTTGTACATCAGCCGGCCCTGTAAGGTTACTGCAGGACAAACATGTCTGAAAAAGCAGTGGAAGTGGTTCATATATTTATTACCAGTTGGCGCCGCACGCGTTGCGCGCACAGCACAGTTCTGCGGCGATATAGGATGGTGCGGCGTGAATTCTCGAATTTGGCCCAATACACTTCGAATATTTGACTTTCAAGCTGAATTCTATCCGATTGTCCCATGCTTCATCCACCGATGGCTTTTGACCTTCCCTCCTTCTCCACCAATTGTCCGCCTTCGTCAACCAATTGTCCGCTTTTCCCGGTCTCGGACTGCCTCTGGACCGATTTATGAATCTCGTGGTAAACTCCGCCTATTTCTTTGCATGTCCCACCTATCTTTTTCTTCCTCGCCAACCTCTCCCCATTTTACCCGATCTCTGAACTATCTCTGAGCCGATTTATAATTTTGGCGGCGAAACCTGCTTTTTTGGTGTATCCTCCGCACACCATTAGAAATTCACTTCCTTTCCTTCGCCCACTTCTCTCCCGGTCTCCAGGACTTCTTGGAGCCGAGTTACAAAGTTTTCGTGGAGAACTCCGCCCACTTTGGACATGCCCCGCCCACCAATAGCAGTTGGGCTCCACTCCTTCACCCACCTCTATCCACCTTTTTCCCGGTCTCCGGGACTTCTTGGAACCGAGTTATGAATTTTCGTCGCAAACTCCGCCCACTTTGGTCATGCCCCGCCCACCAATGACAGTTGGCCTCCACTCCTCCACCCACCTCATCCACCTTTTTCCCGGCCTCCGGGACTTCTTGGAGCCGAGTTATGAATTTTCGTCGCAAACTCCGCCCACTTTGGTCATGCCCCGCCCACCGATGACAGTTGGCCTCCACTCCTCCACCCACCTCTATCCACCTTTTTCCGGCTCACTAAGACTTCTCCGGCCCGAATTATGAGGACTTGTAGAAAACGCTGTACACTTCAGAGCGCGCCCCGCCCATTGTGGGCGGGCCTCCGCCCACGTCATGTATGCTGGAAACACCTTAGACATTGCTCCCTTACACCAAATTGTTTTCTGCTCTGTAGGCTTTCTCCCAACCGAGTTATGAAATTTTTCATAAAGCACTGCTTTTTTGGAGAACGCCCCGCCCACCGGGGGTGGGTCTCCCTAATTCGATGTGACTTACCAATGCACACCTTTACCCACTTTTTGGCCCAGTTTCGAGGTTGTTTTGTCACTGAATTGAAATCTGGTCGTCAGTACACTTCATTTCGATGCACGCCACGCCCACTGTGGGCGGGGCTCCGCTTAGCTGATGTGTGTTTTGTACTTCGTGAGACCTTGCCCACCCATCCCACACTTGACCCGGTCCCTCCAGGCGGATCCCGAGGAGCTAGGGAATTTCGTGACAGACATACAGAACGACAGACAGACGACAGACGAAGCGCTTTATAGTAAGTAGGATCCAAAGAAGTGATCAATCGTGGTAGGCGATTTTTTTGTGTCGTATTTTAAATGTTGTCAAATATGTTAGATATTAAAAATAAAAACCTAACAATGGCCTGACCTTGTCGCTCGCAGCGTACTGTGTCGCTCATTCAAACTTTTAAAACGCGAGTTTTGTAATAGATAGGAGAATGGGCTCTTCACAGGGTCTAGGTCTAGCTTATGAGAAATTTTTCAGCGAGGCTCGTTACATTATCTACGCTTGCTCGCTGGCAGGTTTTCTGTGCAGCGAGGTTCTAGTCATGGCATGTGTCTATTGGTTGACACGAACAAGAAGAAGCGGACGATCTGCGTCGCCTTCACACATAAGTCCTCATTGAATTTATGTCGTATAATATTGTATTGAATTTCATGTTCAGCAATTAAAAGAAACAAGAAATAAACATTCATTGGAAACTCTCCGAAAATGGTTGCAGAAGTAACTGACCATGAGTGTCCGTTTTACATTGCTGATAACAAGGTCGCCGCTATCGGGCCTAAAAGACAGGCCTAGAACTTGTTGTCTACGAATTCGCTATGCACTCTCCTACAAATCGACGACTCTTGCCTCTCATTCCTTTTATTGTGTTTCACTTAGGCATGTCGATTGACAGCCCGGCGAAAATTAAGCCGACAGTTGACATCTGCTTCATTTCTGTAGGCTGTATTTCGACCATCTTCGTTTCTTAAAAACTTTCAACTTTCAATTCGCACTTTTCAATAGCTCCTGTGTTTTAGTTTGAATGAAATAATCAGCAACTTAAAGCTGTTGTTAGTCTTCCATGGCATTTTTTCAATCATTATTGAGCAAAGGTGCAATGAGCTTTAGCCCTTCAAGTACTTTTGCTACTCATATATAGTACGGATCGTCTAGTCTCCACCTTTTCCTATGCAAGGCAAGGAGGTCTACCTCGTAGAACTCTTCAGGTACGACTCGAAGAAGTTAGGTACTCAAATTATGAGGTCGTCGCGGTTATCAAATTGGTTTGCTGCTAAGGAGTATTGCGCTGACCTGAGTCAGTGATAGTTGGACGGTGCCAGGTCTGAGCTATATGGCGCGAGAGGCAGAGCGTCCCAGCCCAACTCCTCGATTTCTTGTTGCAAAATTTTCGCGACATGTGATCTTGCATTATCGTGCCAAAATGTTTCAATGACCGAATTTGCCCTTTGACTACGTAGAGCCCGACCCTCGCCTGCGGGATGTTGTGCGCAGAGTTTAGCTGTAACTATATGACGCACAATCAGCTCTCCATAGTAAGCCATTCTTATACTGCTTCACCATACTGTAGCAAGACTTTTTCTCTGTGGCTGTCCGGTTTCGGAGAGGCCCTCAGCTGCCCATCTGTTGCCAACCACGGCCATCTTCTCACTTTGTTATCGGGGAACATCCTTCTGTAAAACACGCCTTCAACGAAGTCAGGAACCTTCTTCTTCTTGGAGTTATGCAGCAGAGTTCAAGTATTGGCAACCAATACTGCTTGCTCGTGTCGCTCAGAATAGGCCGAACCCATTTTCTATCCTGAAAGGCCCTAACAGTCGCACGTAGGAACTTTCAAATTTTTCTGTTGACACAACTGAATCTCCATGCAAGTTTTGTGCGGTATGTCGAGGACTCAATTCGTTGGCCTTCTTTATTTCTCCTTCATCTGGAGCTAGAGGTCAGAATCCACGACCATCGTCATCAGCTCCTTTACCTCAGTCTTGGAAGAGCTGAAACCATAGCTGAAAGTGCACCAGAGACTGAGTGTTGCTGCTCAATGTTTTGCACGTAATGAGTGGGATTCGTTGGCTGTTTTTCTTGCTTGAATATACACGCTCAGGCGATGTTTTCTGATCAATCATGTTCGAGCAAAAGTTTTGGCTCGAAGAACATCCGCTCGCTGACGGCTAAGGTTTCGCAATATGCGCACTGAATTGCTCTCTCGAATGGATGCTCTCCCATATTACGAGGTTGAGTTTCAGCTGAGAAACAAAGCCAGGAAGCGACATTTCAAAGTTACCAACCTAATACATGTCTTCAGTGGAGCAACCGTGTCAAAAATAATTTTGAGGTTTACTACGGCAAAAGCAACTGAAACTTTTCTTTCCAGAAAACGTCAATTCGATCGAACTTTTACAGTTGTTCCTTCTGATAAGTTTGACACATCGAATATCATTCGAAACATTTTGTTGCATCCGAGTTTTGCGTAGTTAAAGCTCAAAATTCACGGATTTGATGTGAGGCGGCGGCGCCTGCAAAATCGCCGTGGTCCCACGCGGTGCAAAAACCCAAAACGCGCGTTGTCGTCAACGTGTTAATCACCTAAAATTACTGTTAGGAAGGACTTTTCCTGTAAGCTCTATGTGATCGAACAATTGCTCACAACCACTGAAGATATCCAGAGAAGTTCCTCACTGTTGCCGTGGTGTGACAAAGAAGGACGACTGCCGGCTAGTACGCAAACAAAGTTCTATTTAGATTCCGAGCCCTTCATTTCTGTAATCATTCATTTAGCAACAGAACTGGATTGAGGGATTGAATCCTAATGCGCATCGATAACTACAAAATATTAAATGCTAAGTCTCATCATTAAGCCCCCCCCCTCACTGAGCATGAAAGTGAGCACATTTGTAAGCAGAAGTCGAGGGCGTGGCCCATCTCCAATTTCTCGTAACTTACACTTGATGTTTTCGTGTTGAGATGGATTTCAATTGGTGTCCGAATTCTCATCATCAGCAGTGGTCTCGGGATGACAACCATCAAATGGTCGGACTGTATGACTACTGCGGCAACTATCCTTGGTCTTCATTCAGTTACTCAGATGTGGTGAGTGCACTTCAGTCTTCAAGAGCATATGATTTACCATTAGTACTACTCCATGGTTACGCATAACTTGGGAGGAAAATGATTATGTTGTTTGATCGATTAAGGACAGGTTGCCGGATAAATTATTACTTTCCTAAAAACGAAAGTGAAGCTGCTAGGAGCTGCAGGGAAAAACAAACAAATGAACAACCCAAAACCCCCCAACACGACGTACTTGTCGTAGCAGACAATTTCCGCGCTGAACGAGTCTCATCGGTACTGATGTCATCATCGTGAATGCTCTGCTCTGTTTCGTTGCTAAAACGGAAAGAATCTGACAGTGGAGGACCAGCAGGACAACCAATTGAGGAGGATGGGGGGGGGCGGTCAACGGCTCGAAAGCGTCTAAACTTAGAGGTAAAGCTCGTCACGTGGCTACGTGCGCCCACTTCGGCGTGAAAGCGGCAGGTCCAGTGCCTTAGGCCCTGTTCCTTAAACAATAGGCACGTTCCCTCTTACTCGACATCCTATTTGCCGCGCCACCTGCCTTAAAGTACCTCTAAAACCATGCTCTACGACGTTTTATCTGCTATTTTGCCCCAAGTCCTCTGTTAACGACAACACGTTATCAACATTACTTTCAACTGTGTACTAAATATTAGTGCACGTGGAGAGAGCTTAAAGGCAAAGGTCGGGCTCAGACACGCTAGAGAAGTAATTCCCGTGCCTGGAGGTTGTATGTGGGTAGCTGCACACATTGCAGCAACTTCCCACCTTGAAAAACCCCGTTAAGGCCCCGGGGCGTTCGGTTTCAATCCAGGGCCGCCTGGTCAATCCAGGACCGCCCACCTCCGGAAGTGGTGCGTGGCTGGCATAACGTGTGAAATCAGCTAGGTTGATTGCCGTATCAACCGATAGAACGACTGACATCTCCAGAAAACTTGTTTGTACGTGCCTCTTTCCCCAAGCCAGCCTCCTTCACTGCTAGTGGGAAAGAGGGTTTTGTTAACGGCCTTTCTCAGTTTCGATTTCGATGGTTTTTCTCAGTCTCAGCATCTGGGCTGTGGGCAGGATACAACATTTGAAATTCGTTTAGCTATTTAAGCGCACTGTTATGCGACTTTCACTGGTGATAAAGGACAGTTCATCCAGTAAAATGCAGCAAAAGCAATTGGAAATTAAAAATTGAGCTCGGTTGATATTTTCCAACTTCTCACTTCGGCATGTTAGTTGTCGAGTTTTTTATGCCTTACGAGGTTGTTTGATGAGCATTTATTCAATGGCCTAACGTTTCGACTGAATCGTCGCCTTCAGAGACCGACGATTCCACCGTGTGAGCGGAAAAGTCCGCTGCCATACTAGCGCTAGAAAGTTTTAACCCGGTCACCAAAAAGAGTTAGGTTCTTGGCTAATGACTGAGTTCAAAATACAATGAGGTGAGGTTACGGGACACTGATGTGACTGTGACAGTATGATGTGCACCAGGAAATTGAGTAATGCTCTTTACTCTCTTCAGAATCAATGTTACGGAGAGCAGACAACGTCCAACCGCCAAGGTGTTGAATGCGACTACAGAAGAATTTTTATTCAGCCGGAGCAACTGTGCTCAGTGCACGATACAGGTAAATAAGCAATAAATTCAAAGAGATAAAGTCATTCAAAGATTTTTCCGTTCACTGTACAGTGTGATCCAAATGTGTACATAGTTTCACCACATTTTTCGTTGAAATCTCTGAAGGCTGTAAACAATTTCGCCCTGAATTTTTATTAGCGATACATCATGGGTACTGTGTTGATACAGTTTGAGCATATTCAAAAGAAACACAGAATTATCTGATTTTTTTCTCAAAACATAACATCTCAGGTATATCAATTAAATTCTGCTTTTTATTTCTTATGAATTTGGTTGTAAAAATGACTCGTTATTGCTTCGCCTTTTTCATGTTCTGCAGTGCCATGCCATGCGATGCCTTTTTCAAACTGAAATGTGGGAAAACTAAGGTACGCAAGCATGCGGGAATCATTAAAGGAATCTTCCACGGACCATGGACCAGTGGGCGGGACCGGAAGTGGTTTTGCGACGAAATGCATGGTAGGTACGGATCCACGTTCATGGGAAGGTTTGAAGTGAATCCTGTTCACGTTCGTGCGTTCGACACGTGGATCCGTACCTACCATGCATTTCGTCACAAAAACTTCCGGTCCCGCCCACTGGTCCATGGTCCGTGGAAGATTCCTTTAAGTGCATCATCTCAAAAAAAGCTGGTTGATCTCTCAACTTGATCAGGAACTTCTGCCCTTCTAAATGGACTCCTACTACAGGAAAAGGGAGAATCAAAACAGCTTCTCGACAGAGAGGAAATTCGAATCCATTACGCTTCGTCCAATGTGGGTGATCATCGATTAACAAGAAACAGGCACAGGCTAATGTCATGAAAAGCTTCGTTGATCGTTTGCTCGAGGCATATCTACAAACTGCACGAAGACAGTACTTGAAAATACCGTATGCACCATTCACGCACCAGGAACGCAAGCTCCTTACCACGGAATACTCGGGCTAGAGGCACCAACGGGTTAAGGTG